GAGATTATATGAGCGTACCCGCCAACCGCGCCAAGAGTGAGCCATGCTAGATCGCCGAGGTCAAATCTTCCGCTGCCAATTGCGCGTCAGTCCGCACCCTCAGGAGGTCCGCCTGTCTCCCTAAAAGGCAATTTTCCCCACTTCGACCTACGTTATCGTGATTCCCTCCTTTAGGCATTCCCTTTACATTATGATAAAAACTTTGGATTTGCTGGCTGGTCATGGTTTCACGGGGAATTACCCCTATCCTCACCACGAATTACGCCCTTACCCAGTTGCTTCATGAGGATAGCAAAAATAACGAAAAATAAGAGTTGGTTCCGATATTAATTCAAACAACCAGGGAATTTATACCAACTTTGAATTCCCGCCGTAGAACTGACACAACGGTTGGCGCTGTGGAGATGTGTTATGAGCGTTAAAGTGAACGGGTTGCATGGTGATCCTTCCCAGAAACTTACACGGGCTTCGCACATACCACGCACTTCGTCACAAAAGCACTTTTATTCCCTTCCACCTTGGCAGAAGAAGTCCAGCAAATGGGAAGGAACAGTTTTCCCATGGCCGATTCCTTTAGGTTCTTGTACTGCAAAAGCTGTAAAACAGCAAAATGTTTATTAGGTTCCAAGTACAAAAATCTGCATTTATTTATAGAGACTTTCGGAAGAATTATGGACACCAAATGGGATGTTATCATCCTGGACGAGTTGTTCGCGACGGCACAAGGAGCCATAGCGCTGGCGCATTCGTGAGAAGTACGGTGCTAAACTTGCCACTTTTGCGAACAACAGGTAGCTTACAATAATTTGATTTTTATTAACGAAACAGCCACAGCAGAGAAAATAACTGACATTATGTACCTCCTGTATGACGAGCACGAGCGTACAAGACGGGTTATGAATGCATCAGCTTGAGTTGTCACGTGCTAACAAGACAGTGGTATTCCCTGCAAAAATCGGAGCGGATTCAAAAAATAACTGCATTGAATATGAATGCCAACTCTCGTGGAAAGGGCGAAATATCGCGCGATAAAAACTCTCAAAGTCTACATCATTCACAGCAACTCTATTGTTGTTCAGCACTGGTTCAAATAATTGTGGAGGGAATTCAGTGACCGCACTAGCCCTGTTTGGATCCCAAAGTTCACCTTTGTCCATGGACATTAAATAAGGATTTTTATGCTTCCACATCTGGTTTTTCTCAAAAAAGTTGACCGACTGAGGAGGAGATGAAGAGTTTTGTGAGCTTCCCCCATCAACAAAAAAATACGCAACTGGTTCCATTCAATAGGACCCTCCCTTCTCTCAGTGTGCCACTACTGACATCGCAACAATCCTCGACATTGGCTCGCTCTGCCTCTGAAATGAACTCGCAACATTTACAAAGTTAAAATTTGATCAGTTCCAGGATAACTCTGTTTTTCTCCATTCACAGATTTCTCCAATCAATACAGTCTCTATCGAGGTTTCTCTCGGAATCCTGTGATAACACCAAAGTAAGTGTTTTCGTCAATATTAATAGAAGCTTGTTAACAAGCTCATGGCACAGAAGAAAAGAGATGGGCTACAGCGGGAACAAAATTGTCCAACGAGAGCTCGGGGAGAAGCCATACTGATTTCTGGCAGTTCTAATTTGTGCAGTTTGAGTGCGATCGGGTCTGTCCAGTAGAATACGAGCTACTCCCCTCAAAAGCGCATCGAGGCCGCCCAACGCTGCAGCCTCGAAGTAAAAGAGATCTTGTGGTAAGCCACATGGTCCCACTTCACGTCTCGCATACTCATCGCTTGCCGCGCGCAGCATGAAAACCAGAAATAACACGCGCCATCGCTGGTCTTTTGTTGAGGCTATTTCATTCTATGCCAGACCTTGGTTTTGGAAATAACGAAACCAAGTACTATGCGGAAATGTGGGTCGCTTTGCAAAAATGTGCGCTCTCTCAATGGAACATTCGTGCGGAGGGACCTAACGACGCACTCTG